GATTAGTGTAAGGAGGTAAGAAATGAAAATTTAATCCAAGAATCCATTCTAAAGGAGCAATTTGAAGATTCAAAATTTGGCACCAGATATCACTATATATATCACTATCACTGTATCTACTATATATAAATATCACCATATATACTTAAAACCCTGTTTCTTGAGAACCATGTCTGCAAGTGTGATCACCTCCTTGTTTTGAGCTCCTCCTTTACACTGACAGAATCACAGATGAAGGCAGCCATGTGAGAGCTGCTATGACCAGAAGGAAGATCCCCAGCTCATCCCAAACAAGACACCCTGTGTCACAACTCTTGGGACTTCATCTGGGACATGGGCTGTAAACCATTCTACTACTTCCTGGAGGCCAAAAGGCTGAGCCTCATAATCCAGCTCTCTCCTGGCCATCTCTAGGCTAACATAATGTGTGACATCAGTTTTGTAAACTTCAGTGCAGGTGAGGAAGGGCTGGAAGTTGTACAGCCAACAAAAATGAAGTGAACCATCTCTGTTAGGAAAGCCAGGCAATAGATGAGGGTAAATACCAGGTGGGTAGATAGGAATGTGTGGCCCAGGCCCTCAACCGAAGGTCAGAAGAACTTGGAGTTGTTCTCAAGTCTGCCATCTGAGATGAAGTAGGGCTGCCTGAGGCGACATGGCCCCTGTCAGCTTTCAGGACCTCTGAGGGCAGAATGTGAGCTTGCACAAAGTTATCCACATGAACAAATTCAACTAGGCTTCCGGGGTCCCCATACACAAACTTGAACAGGTCCCTCTCAATGTACCTCATGATCCTGGGAAAGTGACTTTGTCTTCCGGGCCCATAGATGCCAGCTGGTCTCAGGATACTGGTTCTCAGGATGCCACCACTCCCTTCTAGGGCTGTACCATTTGCCTCCAACACCTTCTCTGCGATCGACTTGGTTTAAGAGTAGTGATCAGGATGGAGGTGAAGAGGTATGCAAGGCAGAGATTTGTCTCCATTTCTGATAGCTTGCCCTCCAAATGCGACATTGAATGTGCTTGTGTAAACTAACCTCAGCACCCCTCAGCATCCCTGCAGGCCTTCAGGATGTTGTCTGTGCCCCCGAAATTGATGTCTTCTTTCAGCTTCTGATTCAATTGCTCTGGCCTCGACATACCATAAGCATCATTGTGAAATACACAGGTGACATCCACACCCTGCAAGGCTTTCTCGACATCAGAGAGGTGGTGGATATCTCCATGTACAAACTTGATTCCTTCCTGAATGGTCTGAATGGGGCTGCTAATGTCAAACAGAATCACACGGACTCTCTGCTGCTTCAGAGCACAGCCTAGGTGGAAACCAACATAGCAACCTCCTCTTGTAATGAGGACAGTTTCCTTTGGAGATTTTTGTATGCCATTTATGACAGTCGAAAGATATAACTGGACCTGCCACTGGGTTCGTTAGGTGGGGTCACCCTCAGCTGCCCTCCACGAGACCGAGACCCCCTTGGCGAATGGCAGTGATGCCCCCACATCAGGCCATGATGCTCCTGCCAGGACAGACAGGGAGGCCCAAGCCTCACACCAAAAAGTGGATTTTTTAATTGAATACTTTATTTTCAGATAATTTTACAACAACATGAAGTTGTAAGAAATAATACTGAGAGATCCTGTGTTTCCCCCACTGATAGCATTATACAAAAAAATAGTACTATGACACATCTGGGATGTTGACATTGATACTGTGATAGTTAAGAGCCAACTTGGCTAGGCCATGATTCTCAGTGGTTTGGCAGATATTATGTAATCATCTTCCATTTTATGATCTGAAGTAGGCAGCCAATCAGTTGAAAGGGATGTTACCTTAGGGGTGTGGCCTGCATCCAATACATATGAATGTCCTGGCAAAGCTCTCTATCTCTGGATCTTGCATCTGACTCGTCAACCTCTGACCTCTGGTTCTTGGGACTTGAGCCACTAGCCTGCCATCTGACCTGCAGGTTTTGGGATTTGTCAGATCCCACAACTCCATGAGCCAGCAGCCTTCCACATGACCTGCAGATTTTGGATTTGTCAGCCCCTGGTACTATGCGAGTCAGGAGAAGCCTCCAGCCTGACTCCTGACTGACAGGTTTGGGACTTGCAAGCCTCCAAAACTACATGAACCATTTCCTTGAAATAAATATCCCTCTGTATATTTCTATATATACTTCACTGGTTTTGATGCTCTATACAACCAACCCTAAGATATTTAGTACCGAGAGTGGTTCCAGAGGAACAAAATTGTAAGGATGAGTTTTCTGAATTAGTTCTCAAGTCTAGATGAAGGCTTTAATGACTCTGCCTCTAGTAGTAAAGAGGGCTCCGCTAATCCATGGAGTAAGGTGGCAACAGAAATATGCATAATATCGCCACCGTTGGATAAAATATTTGTGAGAGACGAGGCTCTGGATGATTGCCTATTTGATACTTTTCTACAATTTTGTCAGAACAAGAAGTATAAGGAAGCTGGTTATTTGTTCCTACTTTTGCTAGACAAAGTGGTGAAAGAGGAATGAGCTCAAGCCTTCAGAGTAACAGCTCCAGTGCTGTGTCAAAGACCTGAGAATGACCACATATACCCTGAAAGAAAGCCTTATTTCTCGTAGAAACAGAGCTGATACAGTCAAAAACCAAACCCAGAGTCTTATTGTAAGAGTGGCTGAATTACAATGCCAATGGAATTTCCAACCTCAAAAGGTTTCTGAAGGTAAAGTGAGGACATTGATTGGGAAGACATATGTCCTGAAATGGGATAGAGAAATATGGGCAGATAATGAGGAAGCTGAGGACACAGAGCCCCTAAATTCTGCTGAATCACTTCTGTCAACAGAACCAGGCCTCTTACTCTCATCTGAAGAGATTACTCCATCTTTGTGTGCTAAGCCACCTTCCCCAGTAAAACCATTATCCCTTCAACCCCCGTTTGATGAGATTAACCCAGCTGTGTCTGAGGAGCCTTTGTCTGAGATACTGTCTGGGGTGGCATCTGAGGCATTGTCTGGGGGCATCAATTGAGGCAGATGCCTAACTAGACATTGTTGAATGTCCCCAGGACATACCCCCACCACCCATTTTTGCTTCTAGGCCTATAACTAGACTTAAGTCCCATGGAGCCCCAAGAGGTAAAGTACAAAGGGTGACCCATGAGGAGTTACACTACAATCTAAAAGAACTACTTGATTTTTCTAATATACACAAACAGAAACCTAGGGAATATGTGTAAGAATGGCTATTAAGGGCATGGGATAATGGTACAAGGAACATAAAGTTGTATCAGTCTGAGTTTATTCATATGGGCCGGTTAAGCAGATTCTTCATTCAATATTTTAGCTCCAGAGATTAAAAGGATCTGCTAGTCTATTTGGTCGGTTCACTGAAGCATGGATTAAGCAGTGGCCTACACTAAATCAGTTTGAGAAGTCAGAACTGCCTTGGTATCCTGTAGAAGTAGGTATCCAAAGACTTAGAGAAATTGGCATATTAAAGTGTATTTAGCAGATTGGACTCACAGACCCATCAATGAAGCACCTAGAGGGCTCATTTTCTACCACAACAGTGAGGAACAAATTTGTGAAGGAGCCCCAGCATCGTGAAGACTGCTTTGATTAATATTTTATGTAAGTCAGATTTGAAAGTGGGATCTACCCTAACTGAATTAAGATATCTAACTTCAGTGGGACTGATTGGACCCGGTGGTGGTAGGGGACAAGAGGCAGCACTTTGTCACCAAAGACAAGGTGGGCATGGTTACCATAATGGACAGTAGAACCAAAGCAGTAATTAGAATAGTCTGACTAGAATGGACTTATCACATTGGCTACTTAGACATGATGTCCCAGAGAGTGAAATAGATGGGAAATCTACATATTTACTTGATTTATACAAGTGGAAGAATTATAGGTCATGTGAATGGCAGCCTTACTTGGATCACCAGAATAGAGAATCACAGCCCCTCAATCAATTCCCAGACTTGAGCCACTTTACAGACCCACAACCCCTTGAATGAAGGGAAGGTCGGGTCTCCTTGAGGAAGATCCCCACTGCACTGCCAAAATTGTATGCTGTTAATCTTTCTCCCAGCATTCCCCAAAGGGAACTACTGCCTTTTACAAGAGTGACAGTTCTTTGGGGAAAAGGAAATAATCAGATTTTTCAGGAATTACTGGACCTTGGCTTCTAACCAGAAGGTCAGCTGTTTGAATCCACCAGCTGCTCCTTGGAAACCCTATGGGGCAGTTCTACTCTATCCTATAGGGTCGCTATGAGTCAGAATTGACTTGATGGAAATGGACTTGTTTTTAGTTGGTTTTTTGGGGCTCTCATCTAACAATAATTCCAGGAGACTCAAAACATCACTGTGGCCTGCTAGTCAGAGTACAGGCATATGGATCAGGTTATTAATGGAGTCTTAGCTCAGTTCTGTCTCACAGTGTTCAAGTGGGTCTCCAAACCCAACCTGTAGTGATTCCCCAGTTCCAGAATGCAAAATTTGAATACACATACTCAGAAAATGGCAGAACTTCCACATTGGATGCCTGACGTGTAGAGTAAGGGCTATTTTGGTAACAAAAATTCAAGTGGAAGCCACTAAAATTGCCCTTACCTAGGGAAATAGTAAACCAAAAGCAATACTGCCTTCCTGGAGGGATTGCAGGGATTAGTGCCACCAGGAAGGGCTTTAAGGATGCAGGGGTGGTGATTCCTACCACATACCCATTAAACTAGCCTATTTAGCCTGTGCAAAGAGAAAAAGATAGATCATGGATAATGACAGTGGATCATTGTAAATTTAACCAGGTGGTGACTCCAGTTGCAGCTGCTGTTCCAGATGTGGTTTCCTATCTTGAGCAAACTAATACATTTCCTGGTACCTGGTATGCAGCTAGTAATCTGGTCAATGCCTTTTTCTTCATTCTGACTTAGAGGGATCATTAGAAGCAGTTTGCATTTAGCTAACAAGGCCATCAATACACCTTCACTGTTCTATCTCAAGGGCATATCAACTCTCCAGCCCTATGTTCCTCAGGGACATTGATCACCTTTCTTTTCCACATAACGTTACACTGGTCCACTACATTGATGACATTATGCTGATTGGACCTAGTAAGGAAGAGTATCAATACCTCTAGACTTATTGGTAAAACATTTGCATGCTAGAGGGTGGGAGATTAATCCCACAAAAATTTAGGCATCTTCCACCTCAGTGACATTTCTAGGGGTCCAGTGGTTTGGGGCATGTCGAGAGAGATATTCCTTCTAAAGTGGAGGATATCTTGTTACATCTGGCCCTTCCCACAACTAAAAAGGAGGCACAATGCTTGGTGGGCATCTTTGGATTTTGGAGGCAACATATTCCTCATATGGGTGTGCTACTCTGGCCTGTTTATCAAGTGACTCGAAAAGCTGCTAGTTTTGAATGGGGCCCAGATCAAGAGAAGGTTCTGCAAGAGGTTCAGGTTGCTGTTCAAGCTGCTCTGCTACTTGGGTCCATATGACTCTGCTGATTCAATGGTTCTTAAAAGTGTCAGCTGCAGATAGAGATGCTGTTTAGAGTTTGGCAGGCCCCTAGTGGTGAATCACAGTGAAAAACCTTAGGATTTTGGAGCAAAGCTCTGCCATCCTCTGCAGGTAACTACTCTCCTTTTAAAAAACACCTTTTGGCTTCTTATTGGGCCTTAGTAGAGACTGAATGCTTGACTACAGGCTCCCAAGTCACCATGAGGCCTGAGTTACCCATCATGAACTGGGTTTTCTCTAACCCACAGAGTCATAAAGTCAGAAGTGCACAGCGCTATTTTATCATTAAATTGAAGTGGTACATACAAGATTGGTCTCAAACAGGACCTGAAGGCAAGAGAAACATAAATTACATGAGAAAGTGACCTGTCTTAGTTATCTAGTGTTGCTATAACAGAAATACTGCAAGTGGATGGCTTTAACAAAGATAAATTTATTCTCTCACAGTCTAGAGGCTAAAAGTTTGAATTCAGGGCACCAGCTCCAGGGGAAGGGTTTCTCTGTCTGCTCTGGGGGAAGATCCTTGTCACCAACCTTCCCTTGGTATAAGAGCTTCTCAGTGCAGACACCCTGGGTCCAATGGACATGCTATGCTCTCGCTGTTTCTTTCTTGATGCTATGAGGTCCCCCTGTCTCTCTGTTTGCTTCTCTCTTTTATATCTCAAAAGAGATTGTCTTAAGGTAAAACCTTATCTTGTAGATTGACTCTTTCCTCATTAAAATAGCTGCCTCTAATCCCACCTCATTAACATCATAGAGGCAGGATTTACAACACATAGGAAAAGCACATCAGATGACAAAATGGTGGACAATCACACAATACTGGGAATCATGGCCTAGCCAAGTTGACACATATTTTTGGAGACCACAATTCAATCCATAACATGGTCCAAATGCCCATGATCCCCATTTCTGTCACATTTTCTCCCTTCCTCCAATATGCACCTGAGGTCTCATTGGGACTGCCTCAGGATCAGTTGACTGAGGAACAGATGGTTCTGCACAATATGCAGACAGCACTTGGAAGTGAACAGTGGCAGCACTGCAGCCCCTTTCTGGGACCTCCCTGAAGGACAATGGTGAAGGGAAATCCTCCCAATGGGTAGAACTTCAAGCAGTGCAACTCGTTGTTCATTTTGCTTGCAAAGAGACATGGCCAGAATTGCAACTGTATGCTGATTCATGAGTGTGGCCAATGTTTGGCTGGATGGTCAGGGACTTGGAAAGAACATTGGAAATTGTTGACAAGGGGGTATGGGGAATAAACATATGGATACACCTCTCTGAATGGGCCAGAGAAGTGAAGATATCTGTGTCTCATGTGAATTCTCACAAAAGAATGACCTTGGCAGAGGAGTATTTAACAATCAAGTGGATAGGATGACCAGTAAGTGAATACCAGTAAGACTGTTTCTCTAACCACTATTGTCATTGCCTTATGGGTTCATGTACAAAGTGGCCATGGTGGCAGGAATGGAGGTTATGCATGGGTCACACTAGTTGTATCATGTTAGGTGCAACTGTGACTTTATAACTGTCTTTATTTAGAGACTATTTATTATTTAAGGAGATGAGTACAGTTACCAAGCTGACATGAGTTGGACTGTGATGGTTAAGTTTATGTGTCAACTTGACTAGGCCGTGATTCTCAGTGGTTTGGCGGATATTATGTAATTATCCTCAATTTTTTGATCTGATGTGAGCAACCAACAAGTTGAAATGGGAGTTTCCTTGGGTGTGTGGCCTGCATTCAATATAGATGGACGTTCTGGCAAAGCTTTCTCTCTCTTGAACCTGAATCCAACTAGTCATCTTCTGACATTCGGTACTTCGGACGTGAGCCAGCATTCTGCTGCCTGACCTGTAGATTTTGGGTTTGTCATCCCCTGCAACCACGTGAGTCAGAAGAAGCCTCCAGACTGACGCCTGACCCGTGGATTTCGGACTTGCCAGCTTTCACAACTGTGTGAGTCATTTCCTTGAAATAAATCTCTGTAGGTATATTTTATATATATGCTTCACTGATTTTGTTCCTCTAAGAACCAGCCTAAGGCAAACACAAACCAACAATCTTGTTTAGCTTTCCTCAGTTTTATGTGCACTTGTTTGTTTATGAGTGTGTGTTTAGTTCTATGTAATTTTATCACATGTGTATGTTCATGTATTCTGGGTATCCACCAGCATAATCAAGACAGAGAAAAGTTTCATCACCATAGGATCCTTCATGTTGCCCTTCTCTATGTCAACCAAAAATCTCTGGAATTTTGGTAGGAGTTGCATTAAACCTATAGATTACTTTGGGATAATTAACATCTTCACTATGGCAAGTCTTCCAATCCTCGATAACAGTTAATCTCTCCATTTATTTAGGTGTTTGGTTTCTTTCAGCAATATTTTGTAATTTTCATTATAAGGATCCTGCATATGTTTTAAGTTTATAGCTCAGTATTTCATGTCTTTGAAGTGATTATGAATGATACTGTTTTTAATTTTGGTTATCACATGATCATTGTTGTGTGCTGATCTTTTATCCTAAGAACTTGCTGAACTCACTTATTAGTTTTAGGAGATTTTTATAAATTTGGGGGTATTTTCTATGCACACAATCATGTTGCTACAAATAGAGATAATTTTATTTCCTCTTTTACCATCTGTAAATCTTTTGTTTCTTTTTCTTATTTTATTGAGGTGGCTAGAACTTCTAGTACGGTGGTGAGTAAGTGTGATGAGACAGTCTTACCTAATTACTCATCTTAAGGGGAAAAATGTATTCTTTCACAATGGAGTATGATGTGAGCTGTAGGCACCCTGGTGGCACAGTGGTTGAGAGCTACTGCAAGCTATGGCTGCTAATCAAAAAGTCTACAATTTCTCCAACAGTGGCTCCTTGGAAACCCTACGCGGCAGTTCTACTCTGTCCTATAGGGTCGCCATGAGTCAGAATTGACTCAATGGAAATGAGTTTTTTTTTTTTTTTTGGTTTATGTCTTAGTTGTCTAGTGCTGTTATAATAGAAATACCATAAGTGAGTGGCTTTAACAAACAGAAATTTATTGTCTCACAATTTAGAAGGCTAGAAGTCTGAATTCAGGGTGATGGCTCTAGGGGAAGGCTTTGTCTCTCTGTCAGCTCTGGAGAAATGTCATTGCCTCTGAGTTTTTGCTCCTAAGCGATCTTCATGTGCCTTGTCATCAATCTTCCCCCATCTCTGCCCTTAGCCTGTGTTTAATCTCTTTTATATCTCAGAAGAGATTGACTCAAAATACCCTACACTAATCCAGCCTCATTAACATAACAAATACAGCCCATTCCCAAACAGGATTATAACCACAGGCATAGAGGTTAGGATTTACAACACATGTTTTGGGGGGACACATTTCAATCCATAACACCCTGTGTCAAGTAAAATAATTCTCTTTTCTTCTTACTACACTGAGTCTTTATCATGAGTGGGCATTGATTGATATGATCATATGATTTTTCTTCTTTGGCATATTGATATGACAGACTACACTAATTTATTTTTGAATGTTAAAATAGCCCTGTTGTTTTTGTTGATAGGTGCATAGCAACCCCATGTGACAGAGTAGAACTGCTCCATACCATAGGGTTTTCTAAGCTGTAAACTTTTCTAGGCCAGATCACCAGGTCTCTCTCCTGAGGAGCCGCTGTGTGGGTTCCAATCACCAACCATTCAGTTAACAGCTGAGCTGTTTAACTGTTGCACCATCAAAAAATAAAACCAAACTTCTTGCCATCAGGTCGATTCTGACTCATAGCAACTCTAAAGGACAGTGTAGAACTGCCGCACAGGGCTTTCAAGGCTGTAATCTTTACAGAAGCAAACCGTCACTTCTTTCTCCTGCAGATCGGCTAATGGGTTAGCAGCCCAGTGCTTAACCACTGTGCAACCTGGGATCCTTAAAATAACCCTACATAACTAAAATAAATTCCAGTTGTTCATATTGTATAATTATTTTTATTTATTTTTAGGCTCAGTTTGCTAGCATTTTGTTGAGGATTATGTCTATGTTCATGAAAGATATTGATCTGTGATTTTCTTTCTTTGTACTGTCTTTGCCTGGTTTTCATATAAGAGTAATACCAGTCTCATAAGATTAGTTGGGAACTGTTCCCTCCCCTTTTATATCCTGTGAGAGATTGTGTAAAATTAGTCTTAGCTCTTCTTTACATGTTTGATAAAATTTTCCAGGAAGCCGTCTAGGCCTGGAGATTTTTTTTCAAGAGCATTTCAATTACAATTTCAACTTGTTTAATAGTTATATTCTATTTGGGTTATCTGTTTCAGTTTGTTTGAGTTTTTTGGTAGTTTGTGGTTTTTGGGAATTTGTCTGTTTTTCTAAGTTGTCAAATTTATGATCATAAAATTATTTGTAGTATTTCTTTATTATCCTTTTACTGGCTGCAGAATCACTGGAACTATCCCGTTTCCTTCCTATTATTGGTGATTTACATCTTATATCTTTTAATCTTTGTCATTCTTGTTAGGTGTTTATCAATTTTATTGATAATTTTGAAGAATGAATTTTTTATTTCATTAATTTACTCCATTGTTTTCCAGT